ATCGAAACAGTCACATTAGTTCATTGTATGAAGAATAGACATCAGTTAGATTTGTTTTCTATTTGATTTCACTCTCGGATAGTGTTTCACATTCAAGTTTACATTGAAGAAAATAGTCCGAATTTATACGAGTTTGTATTTCCGTTAAACAAAATAGTTTACTTATTTGTTTTAACTAAACGAATACTTTCTTTCCTGAGGAAAAACTCTACATTCGATTCCATATATTCAAACTTTTCTGTATTGATTCAAAAAGAATGAAAATTATATCAGATCTTGAAGTTCTTTGGAATCAATACGACATAGAATTGACTATTATCAAAAAAATACTTACGAGGAAACCACCAGAGGTGGTATCTCGCATTTGAAATAAGACTCTAGTCATTACGTAGGATCATTGGAGACTAAAAGAAATCTACAAGGATTCTTTCTCATGCACTTCCATTTTGAAGTTATGGTCGTCACACTGGATTTTTTACTTTTGGCACGGCATTTAATTACCTATAGACAACTCTTTAAGTTATTGGAATCTCCTCACTATTTCAGCCAAAAAGAATAATCTCTTCTCGAGATATCAAGACCACAAAAAAAACCCTAGATCAACACTTGTATCATTAACAATAGCTGTTATGATAATCGAAAATAATAATACCCTTTTAAAATCCCTAAATCGATTCTGTTCTCAATATGTTAAATTTCGAATTGTCTAAGAGCCTATCAATTGAGCATCGGTAGAAAAAATGATTTATTCAAAAAAGAAATATATATATATTCATTAAAAAAAACCTACTCAGCAATTTTGCAATGTCCTTCAGCATCAAGTAGAATGTTATCAAGCTTGAGATCACTAGAATGTAAAAAAAAAAAATATATGTATCAAAAGAAATATTTCTTCACACCGATAAATAACACCATGTCGATGTAAAAACATTAATGCTAATATTACTTCAGATGCATAAAATCGTGCTCGTACTTCATCAAATTTCCGTGAACGTTGAATTTGAAACATTAAATCACCACCATTAACATATTCCATTATTAAAAATAAACGTTCCTAAAGATTTTAAATTAATTTTTATTTTAGAAAAAAAGAAAAGAAAAACCTTTGTTTGAAAACTACAATAAAGTCCAGTTAAAAATGGATGTCGAGCTGATAAAGCTAAAATTCGTCGTTCTGTCATTGTACATTCAACATCATCATTTTGAATAATTGTCTCTTTATTGAGCACTTTTATAGCAAAGATTTCATTAGTTAATTTATGTTCACCTAATATAACCTTTAAAAAAACAAAAAAATTTGTTTATAACAAGAATAAAATTGAGGAAAAAAAACAAATATTACTTTTCCAAATGATCCTTTTCCTAACATTTTCAAAAAATTAAAATCATCAATTGAATAATAATGTTTTTGTTTGCTTGAATTATCATCAAATGAAGATGGAGGAGGACTTTCATGTTTTGTTGATGTTGCAGCAGCTTGATTATTAGATGATGCTAAAGAAATAAAATTTAATTTCTTGTCTTTCATTCTAAATCAAACAATACATACCATCTACTTCAATTGATGCATGAGGCTTAAAAAATAAAAACAAGAAGTTTTATATAGAAAAAAAAACAAAAGAAATTTTACCGTTTTTGGTGGTCCTGCAGTTATACCAAGAGCAGATAAAACTGCTGCAAGTTTTTTCTTATCTAAACCACAATCATTGGCAACATTACGTGTACAACGTTTATGTACATTTAATTTGCATTCTAAATATATAATATAGAATTTTTATTTGTTTAAAAAAATAATTTAAATAAGAAATAATTACAATCCGTTTCACAAGAGAACATATCTAAGTGTTAATCGCTGATTGAATGGATGTTTTGTTCATGAATAGAGGTCAGGTAGACTAGAAAAAAGATTTCTCTCCATAGGTGTTCCTTACGGAGTTATAACCATTTTATCGTGTTTTTAATTTGAATTTTTGTCTATAAATAGGTCTCTTGATCCTTAGGACATCCTAAAATTTTCAGTTAAATCAGATGAATATTTCTCAACATATTGAATACTGAAGAAAAGTTGGCTTTATTACTTTTTTATAGCATATGATACAATATTTCGAGAAGAAACTTTCATGATATTTCAAGGATCAAGAGACCTATTTATGGACAAAATATGATTTCGATCGACAACTCACTGTTGGTCGTCAGAAAAAAATGTGACTACACCCTTTACTTTTCTTAATATAGAAAGTATAATAGTCGAAATCTGCAAGACTCATCGAAAGTCCGAAACTCTTTAAAATTGTTCTTTTCGAAGAGAGATGTTCTACAAAAGAAAGGATGGATGACAGGTCAAACTACTGTCGGCACTTTTCTTTCCACAGTCATCGAGACTTATTTTTACTAAGAAGCTCCAATAGTTCTAGTTTTTATCTCACATACTGTTCACAATAGTATTATTATATATATAAAATACGGAACTTCTAAGTGCCTAGATTTAACATTCAGATCACAAGGTATATTATGCAAGTCTTTTTTTTGTTTTCTAGAAGACATCACTCTTCTGATTCACATAAAATATCGAAACTACAAAATTCAACTCTTTAATTACCTTTGCATTGCATTCCTTGGTTCCAAGCTCCCCATAAAAGTGATCCACAATGATCACAAAAAGTAAATAATCGATAAGTATGTGCAACAAATCGATGTGGTACATTAATTTTAAAACGTTTTTCACGAAACTAAATACAATACAAAGAATTTAAAGAAAACAAAAAAAAACCTCAAAATCAATTATCCTACTTCAAAACATGTTCGTATTCCAGGACAAGTTGTAACTACAGATGCCTTACATCGTTT